AAAAATAAAGGTGATGCTGATGGTCAGTACAACATCTCTTACCTGCATAGAAGTGGTAAAACGGCCACCAAACGGCACTGTTGGGGATGTATGTGAGAAGAGACGCCACATATCCTCGATAGAAGCCACGAATGCCATCCACAGCAAATATCTGCCCAATAATGTCTCTCGTCTGGCCGAAAAATACAGAGTGCGTTGCTCCCATTGTGGGTTTCACTTTAAAGCGGGTCAGATGCCCCCCTTGGCCCTGCATCATAAGCTGCTGCGATATGACATCTATGGGAACAGTAATGCTCTGGGCCACCAGTGACGCCGAGCCTCCCGCAACTAATGACTTCAGCGTATTGTCTTTAGAATAGTTGGAGACATATTTCCTTACCAGCTCGTAAGTGGTTATGTACGCCTGCCCTGATATGAGCGTGAACGTGGTCACCATGAAGCCCCTGTAAAGTCCTCTCAGACCCTCAGCTCTCAGAATCTTACGGAAGGCATCGTAGGTCCCAGTGTAGAGAGACTTCCCCTTCTGAACCTGCAGCCTGGTGCGGATCAGAGTGGCCGGGTAGACCGTTGTGCGGATGGCCATGGTCATGAAGACTCCAAACGAGTAGAACTTGCGTTTGTCCAAGTCCTCCCATTCTATGATCTGAATGTTGCGCTTCTGCTGCATGTTTCCTGCCTGTAGTGCCCGGCATTAGTTTCAGACCACCTGGAAAATAGCAGGGGGGGGGGATAACACATATTAATGGGATAGTTGAACCAAAATGACTATTCTATCATCATTTACTCACCCTCATGTTGAAAGTGAAGTGAACCTGTTGAACTTTCTCGCTTGCGTGGAACACAAAAGTAGATGTTAGGCAGCATCTTCTGTGTTCCACTAAAATAAAGTAAGTCATACAGGTTTGGACCAACATGAAGGTGAGTAAATGATGATTGAATTTTCATTTTTTTGAGTGAATTATCCCTTTAATTAACTTAATAATTCAACTGAGCATGTTTAATATGTGATGAGGAATGTGCTACTACAAATGTAAGGAATTTTAAAAATCTACAGTCTATACCCAAGATGTATATATGGGGGTGGGGGGTTAACATGAATTTCGCTATATTTTTATTAAATGTGTAGATCTTAAAACAATTTAGTTATGCATATAAAATGATCATTCAGCCCAGTGACATTGTATGACTTTCTTTCTTCAGCTGAACTCAAAAGAAGATATTTTGAAGAATATTGGTAACGTTAACCAAACAGTTTATGGACAAAAACCACTATGCCATTTCTCAAAATATCGTCTTTTATGTTCCAAAGAAAAAAGAAAGTGGATTGACACGAAGGTGAGTAAATGCTGACAGAATTTTCATTTTGGGGGGGGGGGCATTTTTGTCCCTCGTTTCTGATACAAGCTGTAGTAGT